ATTTCAGATCGGATACCGACAATCTTAGCTCAGTATATCATACATTAATTAAATGAAATAAACATAGAATATTAACTAACACCCGGTATATTGAAGAAGTTTTCAAACCAAAAATAATATCCTCAGAATGCAAAGAAAAATAGCTGAAAGTAAAATAAATCAATATAAACAGTATTTTATTCGCTTTGTGACCAAAATGGACAAAATTAATACTCCAAATGTATGCAAAGGCTTAAAGCAGCAACAACGCTACACATGTAAGTAAAAATATTTAGGTATCTGAACGAATAATTCTAGTCTCTTCCCAAATTTGATTGTCCTGACTAATCACCTGTTAGGTCTAATTAATTTTAGAATGTTTTAAAGTATTGCAATTGTGATGTATTTTAATGTGTGATATGATGATGCTGTTGACGAACTGTGGTTGTTTTTTAAATTAATATTTTTTTTAACTATCTGTTATTTTAGAAAAACAACCAAAATAATTTTGGAAAAATACACCAAAACGTATTTTAATTGATAAATAAAAACAATAAATGACTGAAACCCAGGAATGAATTTTGATTTGGAATTTAAATATAGTTCCAAAGTTGCAAATCAAAACTACTCAGAATTTTAAGTCACAAACCAACCAGCTACTTAAAAAATATTGCAACGATGTTTAGTGTTTGGGATTTGTGAGTAGAATACTCAAATCCACTAAAGAGTATTTTGCTTATTACTAAAAGATTTTTTTAAATCTTCAACAACACTTATCTCGAAAAATATTTCTTTTTGCTAATGTAATTATAATTTAGTGTACAATGCAGCTTCTTTTCATTGAAAAATTTCACTCGTTTTATTTATAGTAAAGTAAATATTTGCAGTTGGGTAAATTATGAAAGATATTAGTTATCGAATGCAGAAAAATAACCAATTTGCGTTTCGCTGACGACACAACCCTGTTATCACAGTCAGGAAAGGAGCTCGCCATTTGACTCCACCTAATTCAATATTCCATTGAACTCTCCAAACATTATTCGCTTCTAATGATCATCGATAAATCTGTTGCCAAACATGAAATGGAAAGAAAAAATTATTCATTTGGCAGCTTGCATTACCGATAGAAAAGACAGTGAAGCGGAAATTAAAAGACCAATGTTAATGGCAAAATCTACAATATCAAAACTAGCTAAAATATAGATACAAAAGTACGATTGATTAAATCACTTGCAAGTCCTTTTTCAATTCCTTTTGCCGACGGACAATTGACGCGTTCCAAATGTCCGTAGAAGAATTGCATCATTTATAGAGCCACTAAAAATCAATCCTAAGAACCTTTTCCTTTCAACTATACAAAGACGTATACCAAAATACTTTGGTCTTGTTATGAGGCAGGAAAAAACCCAAAACTTAGTCGATTGTAGAAGAAGTGAGGAGAATCACCAGTGTTATTGACCAAATGAATGATTGAAAAAATATACCAATGAAAGAAGAGTTGGAGACTACAGATGAGAGAAACGCGTGGAGGCAGATGATCACCGTTTTTCACACACAGCGCCTAAAACTTACCAAAAAGTGCACACGTTGATTGTTGAATCAAAGCCAGTTTTTGAAACGTTTGATAAATTTACTTATTGTATAAATGTGTATAATGACGTTTTACGGTCTGCTCACCCCAATAGCAAATATCTAATATTAAAAACGCTCTAGCAACTATTGTTTTCAACTGAATAAGCTATTTTCAGTTTTTCAATCAATTGTTAATCGGGTAATAACAATATATGATAAAAAAACCTCTGTATTTTAAACGAAGCTAATGAATTAATAAATATTCAAGCTCTATTTGACTGATAATTGTTCCGCCCGATTCTACTCTCATGCTAGGCAAATACAGCTGCTTGAATATGAAAGTCAACTTTGGATAAATAAATAAAGATTAATTGAATATAGTAACAATAAACTTTCATCATATTCAAAACCAAAGCTTAACATAATTTTATTATCAGTTGCGATGAATTTTGTTCCTAACAGTGATAAGCTAAGCGACCAGCTGAAAGATGCCTTAAAACATAAATGCATACTTACTGCACCACCGACCCGTTTGAACATATCACCCAAGAGACAAAATTAGCTCTGCCAATTTTAAATATGAGAACGCGAATAACCCTTTTACCAGCATAATATTCACAGAAAGGCATTTTTTAAACGTCCCGTCCGCAATTATCGCATCAAATTACTAATTACCCTAATGGGATCCCGTAAATAATACAGGGGTTTGTAATAGCACACAGCCTACACTAATTCTCACTTTAGTATAAATGGGCCCTATCATGTGTTTTGACGTCGATGAACAGGCTCGGACTCTTCGTATTTAAATAATAACGTACATACCAAAACCACAACGGACTAAAATTATAGAGATAATTGCTTCCATTGAAGTCAGCTGGTTAATTGCAGCAAGTTTGTCATAAGCAGCTGGTCAGAATTTTTTTTAAATTGATTAAAACAGGAAATTTATTAGAAATAA